ATTTTTTCTATTGCAAAAATAATATTATATATATTTTCAGAAAAAAAAAAAGAATAATTTTTATTGTACAGTATTGTATTTTATTAATATATGATTATATTTTATCAAATGAAATAATAAAATAATAAAAATATTTATATGTTGTATTTTTAACAAATATAATTTATTGAATGCATATCCCGATATTCTATAACTACGAAAATTAAAAAAATATACATTTTATTATTAAAATTAGTCGATTATTACAATGAAAAAAATCCTAATATTTATTTGAATATTGATAAAAAAAATGGACGTTCAAACGAATGTATTTGAATATTGTTAATGTTAATGTAATATGTATTCAAAAAAATTAAGATTGAAACATAAAATAGAAAATTATAATGAATGTAAAATATGTAAACTATAAGAAAATAAAATAAAACTCCAAAATTGCATTAATGAAGCAAAAGTACAGAAATTGTTTGTCTTTATTATTTACAAAAAAAAAAAAAAAAAAACCTTCAAAAGATGATACATGTCAATTGTGGTGAAACTTGTACATACAACAATATTGTCCAATCCTCTTTTCAAAACCAAAGAAAAATTTAAAAAAAATTGATTTCCACGTTTCCACATGCAATACATGATTCAGTGTCAATTTATCTCATTTATGTTTGACAAAACAATAATCGAGTTTTGGATAATGATAAATATATAAGTCAATTAAATTAAAAAACTAAATACAAACTTTTACATAAAAAAATAAATAAATGAAATTACAAAAATTATATGCAAACCGTAACAATGTAGCACATAGGACATAAGTTGGATTCGTAAACAACATCTGCAAGAAATACATAAAGAAAAAGTATTAGCATAGTTCTACAGTTAAATAAAAATATAACACGGATTTAAAACATCTAAATTAAATTATAATACGATAAATGCATGAAATCAATTGAAAAACAAAAAGTACAAAAAAAAGAGAAAAAGAAAAACGAAAAACAAAAACAACTCGAATGAAATGGGTGAAGAAGAATAGTGTAGGGTGAAATAAATAGATGAGGGTTTATATAGTTTTGATAAGTATATAGTAATTAGGAAATTCTTTGAATTCAATTTTAAAATGACATAATTATAGGTAATCATAGGTGGAAAAAGAAAAAATAAAAGGTAAGAAATCAAATCAATTCAATTGCATGATTTCTATTGATTAAGAATTGATTTTAAAATATTAAACAATATAAATGATTATTGAATATTTTCTATAAACTAACTATATCAATTAAATATAATCATCTTAAATAGGTAAGAAATTAAATTTCATATTATAAAATGTATATTCTGATTTTAGAAAATTTTAAAAGAAATAAAACATACACGTTTTTTTTTTTTTTTTTTTTTTTTTTGGTATTTTAATAATGAAATTATAAATTTCATAATATATTATTAATTGGTTAATTTGAAATCGAATTTTAATGCATTATTTAACAATATTAATATATTTTTTTAAAATTTTTTTATGGAATGGATATCCGAATATTCCAAAATATTGAAAAAAAAAAAAAAACTGATTTCCTTTATTTTAAAATTGGAAGGTAAAAAAATATTTTTTTTTGAAAATTATTTGAATATTCGTAAAAGAATTGAGTGTACTGAACTTTTTTAAAAAGACTACCAATAAATATATTTTGAAATACTGGAAATGTAAATAAGATTTTTTTTATTTCGATTTATAAAATATTAATTTTGGAAATAATATATATACATGTGGTAATTGTTTAAATGAGTGTATAAATGTTAAATAAGAAATAACTTAAATACATACCAAAATAAAATTGACAGCTCACCAATTGAAGAACTCCTTTTACGTTTCCGAGATTCATGCACATTGCTTCCTAGCCCTCTTGAATCCTTAGGACGTACATTATGTCCTGAATTAGGACCTAAGAGCATCTCTAGTACCCATCCCAAAAAACCCTCCCTAAACAATGGGGTCAACATGCCACCAACTCAATTTACCCTCTCCCTAAAAGTGGGACCCATTTTTAACACTCCCTAAAAAAAAATTGCTCCAGTACTACATATTTATACTCCCTAAAAATTTACTACATATCTTAAACAATAATAAAATATTCATGAATTAAATATAAAATTTGAATAAAGTTTTGACTTTTGTATTTAATTACATTAAATTTCGTATAAAATTTCTTATTAATTTAATTAAATATTATATTATCTTAATATTTTTATTACGTTGTAAGATGTATTATTTTTTTATTCGGATCGATATTTATATTAACAAAGTAATTAACACTACACCAAAATGGACATTTTCTAATAGTCACGTTCTGTTGGAATAATTATTTCTAACGGCGGAATTCCGTTAGAAAAATGGCGTTAGAAATATATGGCCAAAAATTTGTAACGGTTATATCCGTTAGAAAAACTTTAGAATCCGTTAGAAAAATTATAGATACCGTAGTGAGAAATAAAAATTTCTAACGGTTATTGTCCGTTAGAAATTACATTCTAATGGTTTTTGTTGTAACACTCTTAGCTAAATTTCTAACGGATATAACCGTTAGAATTTTTTTTAAAAACGTCAAAAAAAAATTAAAAAACAATAATTTTAATATTTCCATTTTATATATTAATTCATAAATATGAATCATTCATAAATAATGGAACGCCCATAAATTACAATAAAATTTCGTAACATAAAAAAGTTCAATACAAAGTATTGTTCACCATTATGAAACAAACACCATAATGCAAATGTAAATGCCATAATCAAAAATTAATTTCCTACTGAAATAATTGACCCCTAATAACATTAGGGGTGATAAAATATCTTCAATTCTTCTGGATGTGAACTCATTGCCCCTTTGAGATTGCGTCTTCATGCTTGTTGCTGAGAGAAGTGAAAATTTGCTAAAAGGTTATTTAATTTATATTTTTGTGGGACAATTCTTAATTCAATAGAGAGACAATGGAGAAGAAGAAATCAAACCTGGGAATGAGAAGTGAGTTGCAACAGTACATCGAAATGAGACTACAAGCACAAGAGAAGAAGAAACAAGAGAAGCAGTCACAAAGAAGGCCTAAGGAACAACATAAGAAAAAAGAAGAAAATGCTCGAATCAAAGCATCATTCACACACATAAAACATAAAATAAACCAAATTGACCATGAACATGAACTTGAATATTCAACTTAGGGTTACCCTTTCAGCAAGTAGAAGAGCAGACAAGAATTCCACACCAAATTGACAAATCAAGGTAGTCAGCCAGAAGGTCTTCCTCTCCTACATGAGGTCAATCTATAAATGTAAATTTTAATTTACAATCTGCACAATAAGTATTGTCTCAAAACTATATGGAACTCTAGATAGGATAACCACACATATACAGTATGAAGAGAGAAAATAATTCAATACTTATAAAACAAGAAGTGCCACTTTGCCAAGTACATGGATTAAGAATCAAAGTTAATATGAATCTCTCACCAACATCTCCAAGTACGGTGGGATCAATAAAAAAAATACATTTACTACATTAAACCCAACCTTTAAATGTGTACATTAAAAAAAAATATTTTCTAGCTTCAGAACATATGTTATTCTTTCTTTTGTGTTCAAATGACCTATGTTTTCATATTCTGGCTTCCAAATCAAACACAAAGTTCACGAATAATACCTTTTAAGTTTTAACAATAATTCTGATTGCTTCAGCCCATCTGTTAATCTATCTTTTCTTTCTCCAAACTCAGCTCCACCCTGTGAAAAAACAGAGCTACTAACAAATGAAAACCAGTTCACTAGTATTATAAATAATTGAGGTGTAGTTTTTATTACTACCCAAACATCAAGATCAAAGAAAACCTGGTTCTCCAGTTCACTACTATGGCTTCTACTTAGTGGACAATGCACAATAATAACAAATAGGATTGATTACCTACAGTTGGTTGCTTATAATTTGTGAAAATGCCCAATTTAAAGAATATCTTGAAATAGAGGACATATTACAATGATTATGATTAAACAACATTAGAACTGAAAATTATAAGATATAATTACATCAAAGAATAATTATCTCTTAACTAGCAACAGAAGAAATTTTTACTCCCTCGAAAGTAGACGAGGATAATAATTTTGCAATTAAGAGATATCAATTGTTTTATAGCGTGTGAAACTTCTTCTTTATAAGAAACCCCAAAATATATCCCTAATACATGAAGTGCTGAAACAACACATACTAATTTTCTCTACAAAAAACAACACATAATCCTATCACAGATTCAAGATAAACACAAATACAAAAAAAATAGAACAAAATCCAATTTAGGGTTTCTTTTAATATGAACAAAATCCAATTTAGGGTTTCTTTTAGTAAAATTTATAGCATGTGAATGAAGGCTGAAAATTAAAGGGAAAACAAGAGAATAATTCGTAAAAGGAGAAACAAGAGAGGGTGAGGGAGAGGGAGATGAGAAGGGAGAGACACCTTACCTGAACGAATGAACGAATTGATAGAAGGCGTGACGGTGGCGATTCGACAAATAAAGGCCGACATTAGCAGTGGTTGAGGGGAGAGAAAGAAATCGAAGGTTACTTCAGTCATCGTTAATGGCTGTTGGACATGGGGGTGGAGAGAGAAGTAGGGTTGCAGCGTCGAACAGAGAAAGAAGAAGAAGGAAATAAAAGATGGGAAGGAAAAATGGAAGAAGAGGGGTACGGGAAAATATAAAGGCATATATTTACTTATTTATATAATAATAGTTATTTTTAATTTCTAAATTATTATAATTTTAGGCTAACGTACTGTTACTATTACTAACGCATAGCAACTGTTAGAGATATTGTTTCAATTATTAAAAAGTAATATAAACGACTTATCATTAATTCTAACAGATAAATTCAATTTCTAACGGTTATAATCCGTTAGAAAATACTAACGGATAAATGTCGTTAGAAATGAAAAATAGTGGTGTTAGAAAATGTCCATTTTGGTGTAGTGTAAAAACATTTGACAAACATGAATAACATAAAATTAACATAAAATACATAATAGATTGCAGTAAGTTAAACAAGTTTGTTGAAACATCACTGCAACTATAGACATACAGATATAGATTCAAGAAAAAAACTTGTACAAAATTATTTTTTATTATTTATAACACGACTCAAGATCTCTATTTGTTGTTCAATAATCCAAGCTTTACCTTCTTCTGTAGGTGCTGATTCAGGATCCATCATCATTATTTCTTGCTCGCGTTGTTTTTGTTGATGTTCTTGTTTTGCTGCAATTTCCATTCTCTTTGTTTCTATTTTAGCTTGTAATTTCTGTTGTTCTATTGCATTTCTCCTAATACCCTCCTCTTCAAAACGACTTGATTGTTCTTTCCTCATATTAGAAAACTCTTCCACAAATAAATCGAGGGAAGCGAGATTTTTCTTCCTTCTAGAATTTTTTGTTGCGGTTTTCTTACCATGAGGACGTGTTAGTCCCTGTGAGCTATCATTAGATACTCCATCATCAACTTCATGGCCAGTTGAAGTTGGAGTCGTGGCAGGGGCCGATTGATCAGAAGATGGAGGTTGGGTATTTGATGAATCTTCAATCTCATCGTCATCCAAATCAATTTCACCCCTTTTTTTTTGAGAAGTTTTTTTCTGTTTTCCTTTCTGCTCAATGGTATAATTATACCATTTGGAAGTGTCTTTCAAAATCATCCAACACGAGTCATATTTAAATTGATGCTCTTCTTTGTCATTATATAGTTGTTTTGTTGCAATCATCTATAAAAAAACATTATAACATATTAATGGTTGAATGAAATGATATATATATATATATATATATATATATATATATATATATATATATATATATATATATATATATATATATATATATATATATTTACATTATATTGTTTCCACTACGTTGAGCACGCTCAATCGTACGAAAATATCCAGAAAATTTGTTTACACAATGTTGAATGATTTTCCATCGGTGCGCTAGCCCTGACGCATTTCTACCTGGATCACTGTTTAAAATAGATATAAATTCCATTCTAATTCTCTCCCACAATTTACCTCTTTGTTGGTCAGTACCAACTACTGCATCTTCTGAAACACGTAACCAAGCCTTGCACAGTGCTTCATCTTCGTCCATATTCCAGTTTTTATTTCGCCCTAGGGACTTGGTCTTTTTACCAGATTTGTTTGTACTTTGTGATTGCTCTTGATTTGGAATTTGAGAAGATCCCGCATAGACGAAAGGATTATAAGGAAATTGTGAAAATGGTTGTGATTGTGAGTTGAAATTGTAAGGATTGTATGAAAATTGTTGAGGAAATGTCTGAGACTCGTTTTGTGGTAGTGGTTGAGAGCTATATTCAGGATTGATTCCATAATTGAAAGGAAAACGGGGATTGATAGTAAATTGAGATACTTTATTGTTTATATGTAAACTGAAGGGGTGAATGGTAACATAATGTATAATTAGTATTTATAGTATTTAGTGTGAACATGGATGAAGTATATGGAGATTTTAGTGGATAGATTTTTGCAAGTGGGCCGATTTTGTAGATAGATATTTTGTGGATAGATTTTGTGTATAGATTTTTAGTGGATATATTTATGGATAGATTTTAAGTTGATAGGTTTTGTGGATAGATTTCTCGATTATCTCAATTTTAATTTGCAGAAGACATGTGACATGCTTCAGAACACATCAATTATTTTTCTCAACTTTACAGACTGACAAGAATTGCAGTATTTTCTCTTTTATCTCAATTTCAATTATCTTCTCAATTATTTTTTTTTTTTTTACTTTTTTCCAACTTTAATTATTTTCTTGGTTTTCGAGCTTCAATTATTTCCTTGAGTATCTCAAAGCAATTATTTTCTCAATTTTTTTTCTAACTTTAATTATTTTCTTGGTTTCCGAGCTTCAATTATTTCCTCGAGTAACTCAAAGCAATTATCTTCTCAATTATTTTGTATTTATTTTTTTCAACTTCATTTAATTATCTTATTGGTTTTCCAACTTCAATTGTTTCATATTATTTTTCAGCTTCAATTATCTTGATTTTTTCAACTTCTATAAATATTGTCTTCTGACTCAATTGATACACAATAAATTTCATCTAAAATATGGCTTTGTCATCTGGATGGTTTCCTTCAGATGAATTTGAATATATTAAATCATCTAGTTCTTCATCTTCGTCCTCCTCTGAAGGGGAGAAAGAACTTCTTTCTCTTCGTATGGAGAAAGAAACTCAAGAAATGATTAATTTTATTCCTGGGATAATTTTAGCATATGAGGAACAACCGCATCACCGACAATATATCTATCGTGATCGCGAAGAAAGTCATAAACTATTATGGAAAGATTATTTTTCTGAAAATTGTACTTTTCCATTTTCTTATTTTCGCAGGCGTTTTAGGATGCGCAGGGAGTTGTTTCTTCATATTCAGAATGATCTTGAAAATCACAACAGATACTTCATCCGAAAGAGAGATGCACGTGGTCATCTTGGCTTATCGTCTATTCAAAAAATAACTACTGCACTTCGGATTCTTGCTTATGGAGCATCTGCTGATTTTTGCGATGAATATTTAAAGATTGGAGAGGCAACTGGCAACGAAACTTTAAAAGAGTTTTGTTCATCGATAATCGAACTATATGGAGAACAATACTTGCGATCACCTAATGAACATGATATTCAACGTCTTCTACAAGAAGGTGAATCACGAGGTTTTCCAGGTATGCTTGGATCTTTAGATTGTATGCACTGGCAATGGAAAAATTGTCCAACTGCTTGGCACGGCACACACATGGGTCACCACCACAAACTAACATTAATTTTAGAAGCAGTTGCATCCCATGATACATGGATTTGGCATTCTTTTTTTGGCATGTCAGGTGGAAATAATGATATTAACGTCTTGGATCATTCTCCACTTTTTGATAATATGATACATGGTAGAATGCCTCCGATACATTATACGGTGAACGGTCGTTCATAGACGACAGGTTATTACTTAACTGATGGTATTTACCCAAATTATGCAACTCTTATTCAAACCATTGCTCATCCCACCACTGCAAAAGAAAAATTATTTGCGGCAAAACAAGAATCTGTTAGAAAAGATGTGGATCGTGCATTTGGTGTTTTACAAATTAGATGTGGTATAACGCAAGGACCCGTCCGTTATTGGTCAAAAGAAGATATATGTAACATAATGAAAACATGCATTATCCTTCATAACATGATAATAGAAGATGAACGTGAAATTGACATTGAGCCATGGATGCCACTACCAGAAGAGAATTTTCGGCCCCCTCATTATGAACGAGATCCATCACTTTTGGCGGCACAT